CTTAAGGAAATGACTGGGAATCCTAATTTCAATTTTCATCCTAGATGTGAGAAGTTAGGTATTACCCATATGATGTTTGCTGATGATCTTCTCCTCTTCTCTAGGGCTGATTCCATCTCTATTCAGCTTCTCTTGCAGGCTTTCAAGAAATTCTCTTGTGCTTCTGGTCTGGTGGCTAATTTAAGTAAGAGTGAGGTTTATTTTGGAGGTATCTCTGATTCTGATAAAGATCAGCTGCAAGCTGTTCTTGGTATGAGTAGAGGTAGTTTGCCTTTTAGATATCTTGGGGTGCCCTTGTCTTCTAAAAAGCTTACTGATGCTCAATGTAGGCCTTTGGTTGAAAGGGTTACTGCTAGGATTGGTTGTTGGACTTCTAGACACTTGTCTTATGCTGGCAGGTTGCAGCTTATCAAAAGTGTTCTCTTTGGTATTCAGGCTTATTGGGCTCAGATTTTCATTCTTCCTAAGAAGATTCTTAGGGAAATTGAAACTAAGTTCAGGGTTTTCCTTTGGACTGGGAAGAACACTTATGGAAAAAAGGCCCTTGTCTCCTGGCATCATATGACTCTTCCTAAGGTTTGTGGTGGCTGGAATATTACCTCTATTGGTGATTGGAATAAAGCTGCTATCTGCAAGGTTCTTTGGGATCTTGCTCACAAATCTGACAATATGTGGGTGAAATGGGTGCATACCTATTATTTCAACAATAGGAATATTTGGACTGCCACTACTCCCAAGAAGTGATCCTAGGTTTTGAAGAAAATCTTGACTTGCAGAGATATTATTGATGATATTGGTGGTTGGTCCTCTATTATGAAAAATGGAAAAATGAATATTGCTAAACTCTATGCCCGGATTTGACCTCGGGCTCCTAAAGTAGGGTGGAAAAGAATTGTTTGCAATAACCAAGCCGCTCCTAAGAGTATTTTTCATTACTTGGTTAGCTTTGCTTGACAAACTTGCCACTAAGGACAGAATTGTTAAGTGGAATGCAAGTTGTGATCCTATTTGCTTTTTCTGCCAGAACACTTGTGAATCTGTCTCTCACTTGTTTTTCTGCTGTCCTTATTCTAAGACTATTTGGGAACAGATTTTGATGCTTCTTGATGTGAAAAAAGCAGTTCAACCTTTTTACATTGAACAACAATGGATAGTTAAGAATTGCAGGAAGTCTAGCAGCAAGGGTAGAGTATAATATATGTGTTTTAATGAGGCTATCTACAGTATATGGCTGCAGAGGAATAGTTTGATGTTTACGGGTGACTGTAAACCTGCAGATACTGTCTTTCATGACATTATCTATCATGTTGCTATTAGGTGTAAAGGAACAGACAGGAAGCTGCTTTTGCTTCATTGATTTGGTGTTGCAGTTGCCTGTTGTTTTCCGTGTGTTCTGGTTGGGTGGCAACTGGTCAGCAGCCTGTTTTGGTTGGTTTTGGAAGCTGTTGTTATTGTGTTGCTGCTGCTTTCTTGTTGCTGCTGCTGTCTTGTCTCAGCTGCTGTTTTTCTATTGATGTTGCTGTTGGTTGTTGCTGCTTTCGTGTGTTGTGTGTTATTCTGTTGCAGTTGCTGTTGCTGTTTTGTTGCAGCTCTGTTTCTATTCTGGTATTGTTGCTGTTACAGTCTGTGTGTTGTTTCTGGTTGCTGCTGCAGTGCTGTTTTTGGTCTAATGCTGCTGCTTTTTGTTGTTGTTGCAGTTTTTTGCTGCCTCTGGTCTGATGTTGTGGTTAGGGTGGCAGCTGGTGGTTCTGTGGTGTTCTGCTAGGTGCTGCTGTTCTGGGTTTTGGTTGCTGCTGTTTGGTAGCTGGTGCAGGTGTTGTGTGGGTCTGCTGCTGCTCTAGTTGCTGACCTGAGCTGCTGCTGGTTCTTCTTGGATGTTGTTTGGGTCTGTTGCTGGTTTAGTTGTTGTCCCTGGGTTGCTGGTGTTGCTGTTCTTGAGTTTGTTGCTGCTGTATACTCTGCTTTTTCTGCTTTTTATAGTTAGCATTTTGATTTTCAGTTTGGTTCTTTTTTTTTTGGTGTTTTGCTTGGTGGTTTTTTCATGGGTTGTTGTATTCCTCTTTTGTCTAGTCCTGTTGTTTTGCAGCTGAGTCTAGGTGGGGATTTGCTTTCTTTTTCGGGCTTGGTGTTTCTTGTTGCAGGGTGTCCTGGTCTGTGTTGTTTTTTGTGTTCTTGGGCCGGGTTTCCAAAACCCTTCCTAGAAGGTGGCTGGAAGCTTGGCTCAGGCTGTTCTTGTCTCTTTCTTTTGAACCCTTCCTAGAAGGTGGCAAGAGATTGAGCTTGAACTGTTTGGTGGTTGGTTGGCCTGTGTTTCAGGTCTTGTGGGGTTTGGTGTTTGTTACTTCTTAGCTCCTGGAAGTTGTAACTCCCTCTTTTGGTAATAAAATTCTTCTTATTTACCAAAAAAAAAAAAAATCATATAAGTAAAATTCAAATGAATAGAACACACTCTTAATTTGAATTTTAGCATTATTCACGAAATTCTTTATTTTTTTTTACAAAAAAAAAATCACGAAATCCATTTTAACCAATGCTAATTATTTATATATGAAAAAATAGTCACATTTGCGTCAAATTTGTATAGTGCATAAATGTTATTTTTTGGTGTTGCACTTAACTCCTTGAAGTGTATGCAGTTGATTTGATCATGGATTCATGGGGGTGTGACCAGGGCCCTGGGATGCGGTAGTGGTGTGCTGTTGAGCATTGTTTCTTTAGTATGATTGATTAGTATATATAATACATGTTAATTTTTGAGATTCTATATAAAATCAAACATGTACAATTAATAATTTGGGTATTATCCAAGAATATAGATGAAAATGGATAGGGTTTGGTTGTATAGGGATTTGCAATACCTAATGTGGACTAAGTATTTTTGTTCCATACTCATACCCTACCCGAACCATTAGGGTCTTAAAATTTTAAGACCCTCACTTAGACGGATCCAATTTGGGTCCTTTGCCAACTATTAAAGTACACAATGTACATAAGAAATTAGTTCTATTAACATAAATGAAGGTTATTATTCTATATGGGGTTGACCGTTATCAATATACACCATGAATTTAAACTATTACTTAACCACATTCTGTTTGAGTGAAACGTTTGATAGTTTAATGATTACATTAAAAAATAATTGACAAAGAGAAAATAGTAATTGCACAAAGTCTTATATGTAGCTGATCACACCGTGTGACCAGCCACTATAATGGTTACTTTGCTAGTGTAATGGGAGTTACTTGGTCATTATTAATAATTAAATAAACTAGATTAATCCCATGCGTTACACGGTTTAAATAGATTTTATTTGTTTAAAATAGTTGTCAATATTCTTTATTTAAAAAAGTGTACTCCAATTTTTTTTTTTGGTGAAGGATTCAAAAAAGTGTAATCATAATCTTATTTATTAATTTTGAAAGAAATGTTGTAATTGTTTAGTTTTAGAACTTAGGAGAAAAAAAATGATGTCAAAAATACTTTTTGTGGGAAAAATTTTCATAAGAAATTGACAAGTGTCATTTAATGATGTCAGCATGTTTTGTTTTAGTAATAGTTAATAGATAAAAGGAAAGTAAAACTTTCCTAATAAGTGAATTTAAAATTCTTATTATGATATATTAGGATAATTGAATAATCTAATTTATTTTTGTTGTTTTATTAATACTAATATATTTTATTATTAAAAAAATCTAAAACTTTCCTTTTATTTTAAAATAAAAATCTTAAAATTTCCTAAAAAGTAAAATGAATAAACTTTCTTATAATAATTAAAAAAAAAAAGGAAATATAAGGGATAGGATAGTATGTAGCTTTTATTGCCGGGTGAGGAATCACATTTTACCCTTCACAAACAAAAAAAAAAAAAAAAAAAAAAAACAAAAAAACAAAAAACAAAAATGTCAACCTTATTTCTTCTACCTCCGTATTGTCTTCCATTACACCCACCATCATATTGTCCCCGGCTTCTCCGGCAACCTTGCATTCCGCCTCGAGAGTTTATTAATTGGCTTCATAAAAGTTAATATTGATGCAAGCATTAGGAGTGATGGAAAAGTTGGTTATGGAGTAGTTGCAAGAGATGAACAAGGTGTTTGGATTACCGGATATTGTGGGTATTATCTTGATGATCAATTTGACAAACATGTTGGTCCGAAAGCTGGAAAAGTTGTTAAGGGAGAGATAAAAGCTATATTGGTTGGTCTCTTAATATCAAAAGAAAAGGGTTTCAAACAAGTAGTCATCGAATCAGACTCATGATAAATGCAGTAAACAATAAATGTGGATATGGTATTGGAGTGTAGGGAATTGGCGAATGAACTATGTTATTGTTGCTTTCAACACAAGAAAAGGGAAGGTAATTTTTGTGCATGTTCTTTAATGTATTATCATGTTCTTTTTGTAAATATTTTATATTCTTTGGCTAGGGGTAATCAAAGTTAGACCGGCCCAGCCTGATTTTGGGCAGAAATTTTTCGCCCCCCAAATCGGGTCGGACCCAACCCGTAAATTTAATTTTTTGAGCGGGTTTGGTAATGAGTTTTTATGCATTTTAGTTTTTTTTTTTACTCGACCCGAAAAGCCCGCACGGCCGGACTATTTTGGGCGGGTTTGGGCACCAAAAATTGGCCCAAAACTTGTCCCGACCCGAGAAGTGAGCTGATTTTTTAACGTTGGCCCGGCCCGCCCAATGATCACCTCTATCTTTATCAAACGCAAACATGTTCTTTTTTGTCAAATATTATGTTTTTTTTCAAACACGTTCAACCACCCGAGTAACCATGAAAAATAACATGTTCTTTTTGTAAAGACTTTATGTTCTTTGTAATGGCATGTTCTTGTCAAACACAGGTATGTTCTTTTTCAAACACTAGCATGTTTTTTTTTTTTTCCCATGTTCTTTAAAAATGTCTAATGTTCTTTCGGGTGCACCCGGCCGACCCTGGTGCACTATACTATATGTTAAAACCATCTACTGATTTGAGGTAAAGAAAAAAAAATGCAAGTAGAAGCTTAGAGCACTAGAGATTAATAATAACTCAAATATTCAGTCAAATGTGCCTGTGGATCTTGACAAAAAAGATTTACATACATCAGTTTCTAGAAACTCATCTTTACATGGCAATGGCAATGGCATTAGAATATATTATGTGAAATTACAGAAGCCAGAGAAATTATAGGCTAGAGTAAAATAATGCGCGAGAAAAATCAATGATTAGAACCCAAGAAGGTGGACAATTTACCCGAGAGCTCTCACTGGCTACTTGTTCTTTTCCTCCGGGTAGTTTTCTTTACTGGTGCTGCAGTAGAATCAATAGCAGGCTCAGATTCTTGCTTTGATTGGTTGTTAACAACTGTTTGAGTTTGAGATTCGGTTTCTTCCTCAGAATCACTGTTATTAGCAGGCGATTTTCGTTGCTTAGGCTTACCGTTAGATGCAGTTTTTGAAGAATTTACTTCAGCTCTCAATCTTAAAATTTCACCCTTTGCAGAAGCTAAATCCTCCTCCAGTTTTCTGGCTTTCTTCTGCAAATTCTCTCTTTCAGTACCAAGTCTCATGATAACACTCTGTGCATCTTCAAAATTTTCTAGGGTTTCTTGGGCAGCTTTCTTTTCAGTTTCAAGAGAATTGTTGAGGAATTCTTTTTCCTCCTCGAGACTGGAAATTCGGGAATTAGACACCTCAAGATCTTTAGAAAGCATCAATGATTGTTGATTCATCTCATCAAGTGATCTAGTTGCTTCATTGAGACTGGTCTGGAGAGATTTCCTTGCCTCCTTGTCCTCCAGTATTTGGTTTTCCAAGGTTTGTACTTCACTATTTAAGGAAGCAACCATTTTCTTTTCCTCTGTCAAATCATTGGTTGCACTTTCAGCCTTTTTATACACTTCAACCAATTCCTGCTGAAGGCTATCACAATTCTTGGATGTTGCTGTCAAATCCTTAGACACAATTTCCAGCTCCTTTTTAGTTCTATTCAGAGCCTCCTTCACTGAACTTAGCTCCCCAGCTAGTGTTTCTGAATGTAAAGTAGCCTCATTTAGGCTTCTCTGAAGTGACTCTCTTGTTGTTGAAAACTCTGCTTGAACTTTCGAGAGTTCAGCCTCAAGCCCTGATGACAACTTTCGCGACTCTTCTAACAGCTTATTCAGATCAGATGCTTCAATTTTTGATGATTCAAAAGCTTCTTTTGTCAGTTGAAGCTCCTGTTTTAAACTTTGCACAAATTTGGTTTCTTTATCAAGCATTTCCATATAGTTGTCCCTGTCTTGAGTCAGATCAGATATCAAAGCTTGCTTAGCACTAGCTTCGTTCACAAGCAGCTCGTACTTTTCTTTTAGTACATTCAGTTCACTCTCTTTCTCCTCTAAAAGTCTCCTATCATCAGCTGTCTTTTTCTCAGATGATGATTTCAGATCATCATACTCATGCTCAAGCGTGTTGAGCTTTAATTTTAAATTGTCACGATCAACCGTCAAAGAATCAACACTAACATTCAGATCGTCCAACATCGAATTCTTCTGCTCTAGTTCATTTTGATACTTCAGCAGCTGTTCATTCAAATTTATAATCTGTGATTTAAGGTCATCAACTTCATCCCTAGTTTGTCTATAGGAAGAGTTCAACTCAGTCAGATCAGAATCCTTTTGCGCAAGAGAGGAGTTAAGGCCTTGTATAGTTTCCTCCTTTTCCTTTATTTCTGAACTCAACAAGTTAACTCTTTCTTGCAAGACTGCAACTGAGCCATCCTTCTCCTTCACTTTCTCTTCAAGTGAACCTTTTTCTTTTGCAGCCTTATCAAGTTTAACCCCAAGATCTTCAATATCGAGCAGCAGCTGTTCTATTTTCTGTTTTTCACCTTGTAGCTCTTGACCTAGCCCAGTTATTGTGCTGTTTGCCGACTCTAAACGATTTACCAAAGACAGCTGCTCTTCTTTTGCTTTGTTGAGTAGCTTATCTTGTTCATCCTGTTTGGAAGATAATTTTGACTCAAAGTTCTTCTCCAAGGTTACAATGGCAGCATCCTTTTCCTTCAGTTGGTAGTTAAGCTGCAAGTTTCAAGACCGTTCAATAAGACAATAACACATTAAAAGAATTACCATGTTGCATCAAATATTTGGGGAAATTTCAAGATAAGTAATCAATCACATGAGGAAGCCTTAAAGACTAAATATACAGATGAAAGCAGACGTTGCTAAAAATAGAGGGAAAGGGAAGATTACCTAAAAATAATCAATAAGAAGAAATGACTTACATATTCTATCTTCGCCTCTGATGTTGCCTTGTCCTTTCGCGCCAAAGAATAGAGAGCAGCAAGCACACCAGAACCAAGGAGTCCTATTGCATTTAATAGAGATAGAAAAGGATTCGATGATCCATTTCTTTGACTTGTTTTCTGCCAATAAAAGTTTCTCATTTCAGCTAATAGCTAACTTCACCAAGACAGAAAAAAAGTAAATCAATTTGAAGTATTTATCACAAAGAAAGAAAACAAATAAACCTCAATGGCTTGATTTTCTTCTCCGCTTCTTTCTTTATCTTCTGCTACAAAAAAAGTTACAGAACCATGTAAGAAACTCAGGATCACATAAACAGAAACCGCATTTACCATTAAAGCGTGTATATTGGTACATCTATCTTCCTCCACCCCCTAAAAGATACCCTTTAGATATCAACCCAAAAACCCTAACAATGGTGAGTATCACTCCATGGAAATCCAACCAAGTGTGGGCCAAAAAGATTGGAAAGCTATTAGCCAAAAGCCTTTGAGTCTCTTCATGGAAAACCACCCAAGTTACGCCAAGAACCTCATTGTCGCAATAGAACTAGTGCTCAAATTGCTCTCCTAAGTGAAACACTTGGAGAACTCCTCCAAGATAACCATTGCACATGGACAAGGGGTTTTTTTTTTTCCCAGAGGCAAATCTGCATAATTAGGACTGAGAAGTCCATTTTGAACAGCTAATTCACAACTTAAATCATGAGTGTTAGTGTGTTACCATGTTTCATACTATAAAGAAAATTATTAAACTCTCAATCTGCACCTTCCACACACGCTCTTTTAAGAAGAAAATAGATAAGGGATTTGAAGATATCCAGCTACAATACGGAAATAAGTATTTATTGGCCTCTCAACAGACTATGTATTATTTTTTAACACAGATCACCAAAATTATCTTCACGCCAATTAATGTAGGATACATGCATCTGAAAGTCAACTGAGAGTTTTGGAATATAAACCCTAAGTTACTAAAAAATAATACTTCATAATATTTAAAAATTAATGGGTTCTTTGACCAGAATTAAGTTGAGAAGCCATTTTCTGGCAACTAGATTAGTGTTGTCAATGAGCCAAGCTTATTAAGAAAGAACAAAATTAATCAGTTGATTGAACAATATAGTATAAATCACACCAGAAAGAGAGAGGGGAGGGGGGCAGTGCAGTAAGAACTACAAACAAACTAAAACTGAGGGACACGTCTATTTTAAGGATATATTTCAGTCACCGCCCGCAAAATAATGTAATGTAGAAAGAAAATGTTATAATGAAAGTGGACAAAAAACGAAGAAAAAAAAAAAGAGCAAAAATGGGAGCAGTGTAAGTGAATGCCCAAAAAAAGAATACTAAAATAAAAATTTTGATAGTAGGGGGGGCAAGGGGAGATAAAAAGAGAGGGAAAATGTGAGTGAAAATACCCAAGTTTGAGAAAACCTTAACAAAGGAAATGAATAGACTTTGCAAAACACAATGAGTTTAGGAACAACCAAAAAAAGAAGAGGGTACATTTAAAGTCATGACTTGTCCTCAACGTAGAGTTTTCCCTCCACCCTATCCAATCCCATATTTTCCCTATCCTTAAAAACTCATATCACTCTACGTTAGGTCTTCCCCTACCCCTCACAAGTCACAATCCCATCACTTTGCCACTCTTCAAGCCTCCTTAACAGAGCCTCACTCGATCTCCGTCTTACATGGCCAAACTACCTTAGGTGATTCTCCCTCATCTTGTTCTCAATAGATGTAACCCCTAATTTCTTCCAAATTATTTTATTTCCAACCAACCCTTTCTAAAATTCCTCCAAGGATTTCTAAGATATTGTTTCACTTCCTTAAATAAATAAATAGCAGGACAATTCAGATCAACATCACCTTCACCTACTTAAATATCATCATTTGAGAGGATTGTGGAAGCCATCAGTCGAAAGGGCCTAGAGTCTTAGGCCATTACTGCTTCTTACAGTTTGACTATAACATGTTGTTTGGATAGCAAATAAGGAAGGAAAGAAGGGGAAGGGAATGGAAAAGAAAAAAAAAAAAAAAAAAAAAAGAGGGGGGGGGGGGGGAGCTCCATTTCCTCTCCAAATCTCTCCAATTTTGGAGGAATTATGCTTATTAAAGAGAGAGGGAAAATGGATCCCTCCCTCTCCTTTCTCTTCCTTCCCCCAATCCTTTACCCAAACAAGAGAGTTTGTCCCCCTCCATTTCTCTTCCTTTCTTTTCCTTCCACCCGCTTCTATCCAAACAAAGCGTAAGACTCTTAAAATTTGACCACCACCATGAGAGGATATGCTAAAGGGGGAATTGAGTTGACTACAAATGATGAACTAGTTGAGGCTTCGTTCTTCCTCCGATTGGGAACGATCAACAATAATGATGGACAATTCTCTAGGCTTTGTCCCCTCTCTCTCACCAAGGAAAACAAAAACAAAAAGAAAACACAATAAGAATTCACAAAAACAAGCCTTGCACCAAAATATCTACTCATCCTTTGCAAATAAGAGAACATATAGGCGGTAATGTGTAACAGTTCAAGCTTACTGTTTATGGCAGCTTCAAGGAGGCAACCTCCAGCTAGAGAGAGGAAGAGAGGAAATAGAGAGAAAAGAGGAGGATTTATTATCATTCTCAACATAAGGATCAATTACAGCTTGTTCATTATTTATATCAGCAGCTAACAAATGAATTGGTTAGTAAGCAAATTAAGAGTTAACAGAATTCCTAGTTAAAGGAAAAGAGAACTAGCTCCTATTCTCGTAATAATCCTGTTACATAATGCGATATAAGAACCATATCGAACAGGGAATAAAAAAGGAGTGTCCATGAACCATAGTGACCTAATCATTCATAGATCTGTAAATAGCGAGGATATCAGAAGTCAGAATACACCAGGCTTTGAAAAGCACAGGTAGCAAACAGAGGTAACCCTAAGCACTAAAAGATTATGTTATGAAGTTGAGAAGAGACAGGGGTTTGAACAGAACCTTTAAGAAATCTACAGCCTGCAGAAAGATGGGGAAACAGTATCAAGACTACCCACTATCGAGTCAACCAAGGGTGATCAAGAAGATGAAAAATGATGTAATGGCTTGTCCTCACCTCCTCTCTTTCATCAGACTGCAAATTTCATGTATGCCCTCTAAAATCATTAATAAATAACAGGAAAGGAGGACAAACAAACCATAAAAAACCCAAGGAATTAGTTCCACCTCCATATATCTTTGCTGGTCATGAAGACTCTTAGACACGTCGCATTGTCGCTTGAAAGCTTTGAAACCTTGAGATTAGGCCAATAATAATCTACAAAATCCTTAAACCTGCTAATCCACTTCCTAATTCTATATGTCACTGTCAAATTGCACATTCTTTTACCACCACCAAATCTTCTCTCCTTAACACCACATTCAAAGGATTATAATTTCATCTGAAACTATAAAATGTATGCTGATCCTTCTCAATCATCACATTCCTGTCAATAGATCATCCAAACAGCCCAACTTCCTTTCCTCATCGAAAAGCCGACAAATTATTAGTTAATCTGACCCGCAATCTCCTATATAGATTCCAATACTAATACAGCTGAAATTTCAACTAAACTACTTCACATCAATGTATGACTGGAAAATAATTAATTACCAAATTCAATACATATACAGTAAAAGATGTAACAGTAACAATTCAATACACAAATACAGTGAAATTCGAGCAGAATTCCAGGGTTGAAGAGCATGAAACACCAGATTAAAACCCAGAAAAATCACAGCATCTAAATAAATAATAATCAACACCCATCTCATCAAACACCAAAATTAGCAAATGCATCAAATAATTCCAAACAAAAATTCAAAAATCAATACCCTAAAACAGATTTACCAGAGGCAAAAGCATCATTATTCCAAGGCAAAAGGGGGAAAACTGAGATGCCCAGAAGCAACAAAGCTCTCCTTTTACAAGAATCAATATCTTGTGGGGTCAATTGGCGATGCAAAGAAGCCATTGGAACTCTGCCATTTTTACTGCTTCTTCTTTTACCCTCTGCATTTCGAAGGTAGAGGAAGAGTGGACGAGAAGAGAGAGAAAGAGATGAAGAAGAAGAAGGGTGAGAAGGAGGAGGAGAGAGAAAATGGTGAAGAGGAGAGTGTAAAAAGTAAGAGCTTCCCATTGTTAAGTGTCAATCAACAATGGCGGATTTGGGTGATTTTGTTGTTTCTGAGATAGAGATGAGCTCAGAGACTGACACCTTGGTTCAATGGTGTTTGATTGATTCTTTCTATCTCTATTTTATTTTAATTGTTTTTTTGTCAACAAATAAGATGAGAAAATGTGGCTGAAATATAAAAATGGAATTGAACAAGTAATGGAATGTGATACTTTTTTTTTTTTTTTTTGACAAAATATGATACTGTTATCAGTTTGTTGTCAACTGAGAAATTTTTGGAGCCCAGTCAAAGATAGAAGTGAGTGAGTGACTGAGTGAGTGATGCATAAGCATTTTTAAAGAGAGGGAAAAAAAAAGGTTAATATGAGATAAAGACTAGTAAGTTACGATAAGAAAAATTATTATCGTAGTAGAATATATTACCTTAATATACCCCTTAATGGAGCATTATGATCCATGAATTGTATTCAATTTAGACACATAAATAACACAATTATGAAATTTGTTATATACACCCGAGTGCAAGGTGTACCCAAGTGTATTATGCTCATTTAAATTTATTTTTTTTGCTCATATTAAAATCTAAAATGAGCAAAATTATATCAAATGAGCAACAAAAACACTTTTTGGTGCACCTACCTTCTTTATGTATACCCGGATGTATATAAAATTCCACATGCAATCAAGTTCTCTCTAATGCCCTCTAGACTTGTCGTAAGTGCCTTTTGTTGGAAGCTCAATAGAGTGCTCAAAATAAAAACTCACATACGAGTACTCCGTATAAAGGAGAGGGAAAATGGGTGAACAAAACCTAGGCCATTGTCTTGTGGATAGAATACTTATGTTTTAATGTACCTAATGTATAAAAAGGAGTTAGAAGGCTTAATGGACCACATACATGCACAGCCAGACTAACTTGGATATGTCATTTGTGCTTCTATAAAGACATTTTTTTTTCCTCTCGTGAATTGCATAATATTTTACTTGTCTTTATTAGCAAGATTTCTTAGCCGTTACAAATCAACTGCTACTTTAATTGAATCCTTGATTTTGTTATGTATTTGATTCGATTCCGTGGTTTGCTCTCTAATCAATTGCTACTTGCTTTTATTCTCCAAGTCTAGCCTATTTAAACCCATTCCTTATTCAAACTAAAATACATAGAAATCATCACACATTTATTTTCTTAAAAATTATTCTCTAGTTCTGAGCAAAAATAATTTTCATCTGTGAATTGTGAATGCACACAATTTGCAAAGTGGTGCTCGTTGGAGGGTGACGATGGCAAAGTTTTTACTACATAGGGTAGTGCGATATCGCCCTTGAGGACATTGTTCATCTCCATGTAAGTTTTTATTGCTTTATTTTCAACCTCTTTTGATTCAAAATATGAAATGAATCATCTGAATTTCTATGCAAGTCAACCAACGTTTTTTAGGCAAGTTTAATCAATATCTTTACTACTAAAGTGAACCAATGTCTATAAGGCAAGTTTAAATGACTAAAGAGAATGTTCTTATGGTATTGAAAACAATCTCTTGCCGACATGTTTAATTGTCTGTCCGCCTTGCAGCAATGCAGCCTGCCCTAATGTGTGCATCGATGTCGTTGCTAGCTTGCTACCCTTACGATATACATGATTACATTCCATTGTGACCTGAAGTAGATCCACCTCGACTTACTTTTCTCACCTCCTACAATTCCGATCAATATACATCCAAATAAACCATTACAAATTTAAGAGTTAATGAAGTTTATGATATCAAAACTACCTTCAACCACTTCAACACAAGTACGAGTAATTAAACTAGTTGACATTCACTTTCAACCACTTTAACACAACTACGAGTAATTAAACTAGTTGATATTCACTTTTAACTCGATAATCTCATGTTCTCATCGCCCAATCTCGTACAGCTATCTCTTGGCTCGAAGTAAGAGGCAACATGTGATCTGATGACATGAACGGTAACTGATTAGCTGAAGCACAAAAATGAGATCATCACCATCAGCTGGCCGAGGATAACGCACTCAGCTTACTTTAGCAGGACACATTCCCTGCTCCTCCTTCCTAAATCTTCAAACCCCTTTTTCTCTCTCTTCCAAATTTGTTCAGTTTTCCCTTTTTAATTTCATCTGAAACCCTTGACTGCTATTAAAATAAACAATTTCCATCAAAATATTATTTGGGGTTTTTCAATACCCTTGAAATTGGGCGCTAATCAATGCCAATTTTCAATCATGAACTGTATTTTTTTGGGAATTTTTTCTGGGTCACAAAGATGCAATCTTTGAGGTGAGATTCTGGATTTTTTTGCGTTTTTTAGTCTTTTATGATGGAGATTTTTTGTGGGTTATTACTGAATCTTGAGATTTTTAGGGTATTTTGTTGTTGTTTGTTGTAGATTTCCCTGGATGTTTCAATAAAGGGTTTTGAATTGCATGTACATTTCATTTGTAATTCTGAGCAGATTTGATTAGTTTAGGTATGAATTTAGCCTTTTTATGGAAGGATTTTGAGGTTTGATTGAAGATGCATTGGGGATTGTTTGGAAATTTGGTGCAGAAAATTATTTAGTTGCAGTAAAAGCAGGCCTGAATTGTGAATTTTGTTTTAAGGTAATATTCTTGTGGTTGGAATGCAATCTTAATAAACCAGTTTGAGGTAACTTGTGATTTTGTTGCTTCAATTGAGAATGGAGGATGATAAGGGTAACGGTTCGAGGTATATTTCGAAAACATATGGTCAGAATGACCAGCAAGAGTATGGTTCCTCGCTCCGCCCTAAGGGTTCTGGATTCAGTGATAGGTACCCTAGGGAGAGTAATCAATATCCCGGTGATGAGGAGGAAGATATAGAAGATGAAGAATTAGGGGAAGAAGATGTGGAAAGGAATGGTGTTCGAATGATAGGCAAAGATACTTATGATGATGAGGAGGACGAGGAAGAAGAGGGGGAGGGGGAGGGGGAGGACGAGGAAGAGGAGGATGACTCTGATGATGAAGAAGACGACGACAATGATGATCATGAGGATGGTAAAAGATTTAATGGGAAGGCAGAGGATATCAGCAATGGAAAGCCTAGGAAGAAGCGGAAGTTAAAGACTATAATATCAAATTATGAATTTGCTCCGCGTGTGCCCACCCCAACCGTTCAGAAAGCTACATTGCCTCAAGCTCAACCTACATCGAGTGGGCAAAATTCTGTGGGAGATTGGACTGAAAAAGAGACTTTTGCCTTATTAGATGCATGGGGAGAGCGGTTTCTTAGACTAGGCAGGAAGAGTCTTCGTTCAGATGAATGGCAAGAAGTTGCAGAAAAAGTGTCACAGGAGACAAATGTTGAAAGAACTGATGCTCAATGTCGAAATCGATTGGATACATTGAAGAAAAAGTACAAAAAAGAGAGTACCAGGTTAACAGCAGGTGGAAGTGGCGTTAGCCAGTGGGTTTTCTACAGAAGGATGGATATGTTGCTGTCTTCTTCACATCAGCAAACTGGCCTTTCATGTGGAATTGACTCGGGAGAGTATGTATTTATGAACTCTAACGTGTACTTGAATCGTGCAAATGGATTGGATGAGATGAGAGATAGCCCAGGAAATTCAGATTATCTGAGAGATGAGGACGGCGATGATTCAGATGGACTCCCACCTAAGGGAAAGAAGAATAAAGGGAGAAGAGTTGACGGTTCTTCTGTCCAATTGCTCGCTGATTCTATTGAGAAATTCAGTGAGGTATATGAGAAGATTGAAAGTAATAAAAGAAAGAAGATGGCAGAGTTGGAAAACATGAGGGTGGATTTCCACAGGCAACTAGAAACACAGAGGAGGGAAATTCTGGAGAGAGCTCAAGCCGAGATTGCAAAAATAAGACAAGGTGATGATGATGATGATGAAGAAAATGATCTCTCTGCTGAAAACCTCAGTGGATAATGATCTAATATGTAGTGGTTAGTATTCAGTTGTAGCTCGTAAATAATGTAATTCATGTTCATCGATTGCCTGCTAAATGTTGTACCATATTCTGTAATAGGGGGTTAGCATGGACAGGTTGTATTTTTACAGATTCAGGCACCTCATTTGACAGTTTATATGAGTTTCTTAGGTTAAAGTCGATTCAAAGACTTCAACGCTTGGCAGAACTATATGTATTCCAAATCAATGGAAATTTATAACTATAATGCCTGTTTAAGTCCTTTAGGCCTGCTATTCAAAACTTTGCTGCAGAGAGCTTCTTTTACCACAATAGTTTTCTGGTTTCAAAAATTTAAACACAATTAGCGTCAACAAAGTGTATCTGACTCACCTTTGTCATGAACATTGTAACATTTGCTATCAGCAGCGAAGGCATAATATGGATCCGGCCATCAGCATAGCGTCACTCCTTTCCACTGCACACAGATCGAACTTGAGATGCCCAAGCTTCTTTATGTCCTGGTTCTTCCTCACCATCCAAGATCCAGGTACTTCAGTTCAGTCAAGGAGCAATTGTTCAATACACGAGTTTAACAAGTTCCCAATGCTTCTATAAGGAAGTTTTCCTCAACATTTCAACAACTTCAGGCTAAATTATAAATGGGTTTTTGACATCTCCAGAGCCCCAATATAATCCAAAGATAGGTCACATGCATTCAGATAAGACAATGCAAATGCTCTACTGCTCTAGTCTTTAAATGGATATTTCAAAATAATAGAAAAACATGTTATCAAAATAAACAAATTAATAAAAAATATATATACACGTAGTATATGACTAAAGGAATGTGTTACAATAAATACTACATACTCTGTATGAATCATAAGTTCTTAAAAAGATGATAGTTATGTAACCAAAATATGGAATTAGCGAGAAACATGTCCATCAGTACAAAAGAAGCAATTTCCAGAGAGAGTGATTTTCCCACGCTCAACTCCAAAAGGATTAACTCCAGCTAGATGATGGGCAGCTGTTCCCATCACTTGTAACATGAGAAAACGATAAGAATTAAAATTATTACTCAAAACAAGAACGTCCTCCAGAATGGCATCAAGGTCCGTGTTAAAAATCGCTGCTCTGTTCAATCTGCTCACAAGTAGTTCACAATTCGACTCCACCACTATGGCACTATGTGCTTCAGTCCGTATTTTCTACCAAGACAGAGCGCCATTACTATGGCTTTAGCTTCAGCTATACTAGGGGACCACCAGGCTTTAATGCGGCACACAGCAGCAAGCAGAACCTCTGCTTGACTGTCCCACGCCACCACTCCTAACCTGGCCGGCTGGCCCAATCTTCAGTATTCAGGGCTGCATCAATGTTCAGCTTAATCACACCAACAGGAGGGGCTGACCATGTTTTCTGATGGGAGGGTTTCTTCATCACAGGCTTGGAATAAATTTGTTTTGCATACTTACCTTGTTCTTCCTTTAACCTGAACACACGATTAAGTAAGATGGTGTTTGGCGTTTCTTTCCTGTCAAACATTTTCTTATTTCTTTCAGCCCATAACCACCATGCTAGGATGGCACCACCCTACTTTAATTTGGTGTCAATATTCCTCCCCATCACAGGAGGATTTTGAGTCCCCAACTCCCCATCACGCATCAAGATATTGCACTTAGTCTCCTCCCACAGACTCCTAACTCAAATACATTCATACAGTACATGCCATGGACTTTCTTGTTCTGACTGGCACCAAGTGCAAGAAGAATCCTCAATCAGGTGGCAGCTCTTATAAATAGTTCAGGTAGGAATTGTGTTGGTAAACAATTTCCAAAGAAAGTGCCAGACCTTAGGTGAGACATCAAGGCTCCAAATTTCAACCCAAGCGTGATGAAAATCATCAAAATTACAGCTTTTCCTTAGCATATAAGCTGATTTTACAGAATACTCATCTTTCCTTCGAAAAAGCCCAGGATATTTCATCCTTTGGGGTACTACTGATGGGGATATCAAGTATGCATTTCTGATCCCTAACAAGTACCAAATCAGTCCTCCATTCCATACGCTCTGCATCAATTAGATCACTCTCATTAAAATAATCCTCTAACAAATTAGTCCTCCATTCCATACGCTCTGCAATTCCCATTTGATTATGTTTTTTGTTATGTATAGTTCACTAACATTGGTCAAAGTAGAGCATATGAATAGTGCTTAAGTCTAAATAGGCATATTTATTAAAAAAAAAATGGACTCTAATGAGTATTTTTTTCATCCATTAAATTTATTGAAAAAAATAAATAAATAAATAAATTTTTTTTAAAAAAAAAAAAAAAAAAAAAAAACCCAACAAAACTAAAAACTGTCCTGAGGATGACATATTAACACTAAAAAGGTGCTGTCATAGGTGCATGATTTTGTTTGTTGCTTGGGATGTAAGATTGGAACACGAAGACTTGTTTAGTTGTTATAGATGAAAACAACACTACAAAACATAAATAGCTAGAAAATCAGAAATGCAATACTGTTACAAGTGATGAATAGCTTACTCATGTTACAGCCTCACTTCATCCAATACTATAACAAATGGCTCATCAGACTAATATGAAAACCAAAGAAGCATTATAAAGAAAATATCCTCATAAATCACACAGACATCGACCTATCATTGCACTGGAAAGGTTAGTATTTAGCTTTCATAACCCATGAAAATTTAAGCAAATGAATAGTCAATTAAGGCAGCAACAGTAACAAATAAGCTGCATACCTGACTACTGTACAAAAGTTGGTGGTGTAGGCTCATCATCTATCTTTCCCACTGCCTCAAGAAGTGATGAATATGTTATTTGGTCATACTGAAAACCATTGTTATTCATCTCTTTCATCAATTTCACAGACTCCTCAAACATACCAGCACGACTAAGACAACTAAGCATAGTATTGTAGGAAACAGCATCTGGTTTGATGGGTAAATTCTTCATCTTCTCAAACATTTCTATTGCTTGTTTTGGACCACCTGTTCGAGCCACACCATTTAATATGATATTTCGTGAGTTTATATCTGGTGCACAGCTATTTTCTTCCATAGTCTGAAGCAACCTTTGTGCTTCATTTATCATGCCAGCCCTCGCCAACGCAGACATGAGTGCATTATAAACATAAACATTTGGATTGCAGCCAGCTTTCTTCATCTCATTGAAAAGATCTATTGCTTCATCAAGACAACCACTTTTACCATACTGTTTAATCATCACGGCATAAACTCTAGCACTTGAGGTACCAGAGGTTTCTTTCAGCTCCTGGAATAGCTCCTTTGCAGCATCATATCGTTTTGCTTTTCCAAGGCTATTAATCAGACTGCAATATGCTGCTGGGCAAGGAGGAAAACCCTTCTCATCCATTTCTTCAAGAAGCATCAAAGCCTCCTCAACTCTATGCTTCTTGCAAAATCCATCAATCAGAATGGAGTAAGTGTAAGAGCTAGGAGCAATCCCAACTCCCTTCATTTTGTCGAACAATGCAGAGGCCTGAGCTAGTGGAGCATTGGCTTCAAATAAACATTTGATTACTGTGTTATATGTGACCACATTTGGTATGCACTGCAAAGATTCCATATCTTCAAACACCTTAAGTGCCTCAGCCAAAAGACCAGACCGGCCTAAAACATTTATTAAGTTGTTAATTAAGACAACATCTGGCTTGCATCCTTCTTTTAGCATACTTAAAAAGGTCTCATAAGCCTCATCCACTCGGCCAAGTTTACCAAGTCCCTTAATCAATTCAGTATACGTGTAAACAGTTAGAGAACACCCCTTTTCTTTCATGTCTTTGACCAGATCCAATGCCTTGTCAGCCCTGGCCTGCTTGAAATAAATGGCCAATATTGTTGTATAGATCTTTGCGTTGGGAACTAATCCATTAACCTTCATCTCATCAAACAACCTCACAGCAGAATCGTCACGGCCCAGTTTTCCAAATGCTTGTATCAAAGCACCATATGTTACTGTATCAGGGAAGCAGCTGTCATCATTACACATCTCAGTATAAAGCTCATGCACCTTTTCATAATGACCTCCTTGCATCAACATCAAGATGAGGGAGTTGTAAGTGCTTGACGTTGGTTTACACTTGTGCCTTTTAATCTGATAGAAGATTGAAACTGCTTTGTTCAGCATTTTAGCATGGCCTAAAACTCTCAGAACTTCAGAAAATTCAGATGGGCTAAAGTGACATGAGCTTCGAACAAAGTCTTGGATCGTCTTCCAAAGTTCACTAGCTGATCCAGCTTCAAACAAACAATGGATCAAAGCCATGTAACTGGTAGAGTCATGCTCAAAATTCCTCCTTTTCCCTGCCCACTTAAAGAACTGAATCTTGACATTTATATCAACATCTATTTTAAGAACTTCACATACCAATCTATGATCCACCCTTAGCTTCAGTACTTCCAAAGCCTTTTCAGCATCAGGCCCCCACTTAAATACTTTCAAAATCCTGATAAATCTCTCGTCTAATGCTCGAGCATAACTCTTTCGACTTGGTGACGTGCTTTGGGAATCAGACACTGGATTTTTTACAAGAAACATTTTGACAATCTCATTATCTGCAGTGTGACAAAAGGCATGTAGGAGTGAAGGCACATTATTCAGATGTATATACACTGAAGGACATATGACTGATAGAAGATAGCAGGCAAGAAACAGACTCCAGATCATTTTATTATCATTAAATACTCGACCAATGAAAAGAGCAGAATTCAGAACCGATGTTCCATTCAAGTATCATTTGATGCTATACAAATCATAGTTGTCTAGAAGTGCACTCATTTCAAACACAAACTAAAATGCCTCAATGGTCAGCTCAGTTTATTTTTCCAAGAATATGTTTGTAAACAATTTTTAAAAAAATGATAAATGAAGTTCTAAGATTTAGGAAGAAAGGAAGAAAAATAAAGTATAAGGTTGGTTGAATTGGTTATCTTAAAGTAGAGACAACATAACTTCAGTTCACTTCTTGCTATGTCTTTGTCAAACCAAACTCATGCAAATCCCGCTTATCAACCAAACAATTCAAATGCCACTTCCTAAACTTTCTTCTCTCTTCCGTCCTCTTCCCATCCAATCAAAGCAGCAATTCAAAACTAGCATGGTTTTCTTTTTGGAATGAATAGCCAAAATACATACATTGTTAGTTTGTAACATTATATGCACGACCAAAAACCCTAAAATTAGCGAATTTTACATAAGGATCAATAGCGTGCACTCTACCTGTTTGTTTAATTCGTTGGCATAATCTAGGAATCGTTGATATTGCTCGCCTTCCAGTAGCCAAACCAATCATCATTTCCCCGCGTTAAGCCCCCTATAAGTAAGTTATTTCGCACGAAACCCTGTCAAATGATAGATTAACTCAACAAACCAAGAACACCCCAAAATGAAGAGTTCATCACTTTGGGTTACTCAACACATTGCTAACATTTTCAATTGACAAACAAATTCAGGCTCGTCGCTGAATCAGGGCAAGAGAGGCAGCTGATTTGGGTGATAATTCCATATTTATAGTTCAGTCCAAACATTAAAGGGTTTTGCAACACATTATCAACCAAATTTGATTCAAATATCAAATTAATTCTACTTGTTTAAGCAAACGAATAACAAAATTCTAGCATAGTGATATTGTTTCAGTTAATCACATTATAAACAATAGTGCAATAATCAATCCACCATAAAAGAACCCTAAATTGAGTTAGATTAACGATTAATACTAGATTGTGAAACTGATATTTGATGATGAAGAAAAACAAACATCTTACTTCACAGTAGCTGCTTCAATGGAAGAGAGAAAGCTCAAAAGCCGCTTCAATAAAGGAAAGAAAGCTCAGAAGCCGCTTCAATGGAGAATTCAGAGTACGCTTCAATGGAGGAGAGAGGGTGCAATTAGGCCTTGTTCAATTTGTTTTTTTACTTTATTTATAAAAAAAAAAAGTAAAAAAAAAAATAAAACCTTAGCCGGTTCTGATACGATTATTTCTAGTTCCGTTCAGCTTTAATAAGTTCAGTTCATTTTATTTCATTACATCTCCTAATTTTCTTCTCCTATAAGTTCAGTTCAGTTCTAATAGATACGGTTCAGTCAATGTTTAGGAACTGAACTTATTAGATCTGAACTGAATTGAAGTGAAATGAATATTTTAAAAGAGAAAGAAATTAAGAGCTGAACTGAACTGAACTGAATTTATTAGAATTGAACTGAACTGAACTGAAAATAATCGTATGAAAACAGGCCCTTAGACTTGGTTCATTTAGTAATAATAATTTCATTCATTAAAATTAATTTAAATTCAATTAAAATAATTTCAATTCAAGAAAAATTATTTCAATTTAGCAAATATCGGTGAAGTAAAAAAGGGTTTTACTTTTCAGTAATCCCTTCGCATTTTATTACGAGTACTTACCATTTAGTAAACAGGGTTTTACTCTTTAATAATCCCTTCATATTTTATCATACTGATAAAAAATTCAAGAGAAATGGAGAAATAATGAGTACGAGTATCAATTTAATTTCTACTATTACTCACTCTCTAATCTCTATAGTACTTGTATTATTTTTTTATACTCCATTTTTTAGGGTGAATTTAGAGTGTCCTCTATTTGGGTAAGGGTAAAATTAGAGAGTCCAAAATTTGGATTAAATTAACTTAAAAATTCAATCTATTCCAAATCAAATTAGTCATTCAAATTGATTTTTTTGGATCAATCAAAAACCTGAAATTGCTCTTGAAGTCATTAAATAGTGGTGTAAAATATTTAAATTTATTAACATAAATAGCACAATAAGTTAACCCAAAACTTCTATATCTATATCTATACTTATCTATTAAAAAGCGTTTCAAAAAACGTTTATGTGCCATGTGGCACTTTGCCATGTCATCATCCAAATATGAGCATATTCTAATGAAAATGTCTATCTTGAGATTTGAACTCACAACCTAAAATTATGCATTAAAAGCTTTACCATCTCATCTATTGATTAATAATGCTTTTATACTTGATTCATAAATATATATATGGGCTGAAGATCTGAATATACATTTAATGATTGTGGTTCTTAAAATACCTATTCTATTATTTGCTAATAATGCTCATCGATAAGGTAACGCAAACAAGAAATATTAACTATTGTTATATACTAATTTTATTTATTTAATTATTTTGATAATAATTATGTCTTTATTTTCATATTGATTATAAATTATATACAAAAGACATGTTTATATAATTAGTGTTTGTTCTATAAATAAATTGTTTAAAGGTTAAATGAAAATCTATTATATAAATAAACAAATAATGAATAAATGGAATAATATAGAATGAATCTATCTATTCAATTATAAGTGTTCAAAGTAAAAACCCGGGGCATACACTAGTATATAACAATGGTAAGGATGCCCCGGGTCACATACTAGTTAAAATTTAAAACATTCTTCTTAAGACATGGTCCATTGAAATTTTTTAATAGGCTTGAAAATGCTTTTTTTATGCAATTTTAGTTGTTTTTTCCTAGCCTGAAAAAAGTGTACGGCTCCACCATATTTGGCGGAATTAGGCACATAATTTCCTGAGCGAGAAATGGGTTTTTTTTTTTTTTTTACCTCAGCCCAATCCAACCAATGATAACCTCTAGGATCAACATAAGTCAATTTGTAAAACCATTTCCATTGGTGAGACTCAATTTTGAGTACAGAAATACAAAATCATCTCCCTTGGTAAAACCATCTCCATTGGTGATACCTGAACCACTTCTCAAATTAACATATCATGTGAAGTCTAATTTCCCAATAGTGAAACTCCTTGAAATATACTAATGTCACTTTCAATTTAAAACCCACCAAATCCATATTGAAAGTTTTTTATTAAAAAAAATTTAAATAAAATTTAAATAATTTATAAAATATATTATAATATTGATAAGGGCCCAACACTTTTTTACAAATGATATCAATAAGTTGGTATCTAAATTTGCAACTTTTTTTTGGAGTTGTTAAGTTTAAATACCAACGAGTTCCTAAGTTTAAATACCAATTTATTGGTATCCTTCGCAAAAAATACTCTCTTTCTCTCTCTCTCAAAAAAAAAAAAAAAAAATAAAAAAAAAAAAAAAAAAAAATAATTTCCATGAAGGCATCAAGTCTCACCAATGGAGATGGTCTAATATTTCGTAACATATTTAATAACATTGTTTATAAATATATCTGGTCATTTGGCCAAAAAAAATGTAGTTTAATTTAGTTAAAATTTTGAACTTGATCCAAACTATCAAAATCTAATTTAGATTTGATTTGAGAAAATTGATCATATTTGGACTCAATTACTATATTCAAAACTTGATTTTAATTGTCTCAAAAAAAAAAAATTAAAAATTGATTTTAATTCACATAGTGATTTTGGCCCGGATTAGAATTACCGAATAAACAAATCTACTACCTCCGTTAAATATTACTCTATAGTTGCAACTTTATGGTATTATTTATCAGATATAAAAAATTCCAATGTTATAACTAATTAACAGAGATAGTATACCAAAATTAGAGAGGCACGGATATTCACATTCTAATGTGTCAAATTTAGTGAAAAATCAAATGGAGCAAGCACATAGGACCAAAGGAAGCTTTAATTAATGCATGGATTAGGTACTGGTATACTAATGTGCTTAAAAAGTTAATTGAAATGATAGTTTTTTTGGAATTTATCAATGGCTTCTCTTTGGAAATTTTTAATTTTCTAACTAGAGTAAATATCATGAACAAGCGTGTCCCAAAAAAATAATCCAATTTTTTATTTTCTAACTAGAGTAAATATCATAATCCAATTTACATATCAAGGGTTTTATGTAGATGATGGGTAGAGTACACCAGGATCTATTGAACCTATAATCCCTAATATGTACTGAAATGATAGAATTTTAGATCGGCTTGCGTGAATAGCCAAACACTAAGCAGCCGATTCACACGAATCTAAAACCTTCCAAACAAATTGATATCAGCAAATCAAAGAAATAAATTTCGTGATCATTGAACTTCAAAATAGCTTAAAAATACTACTTTCCAGTAACAAATAGAAGTGAAAATTCAAGTAAAAACATTAAGAAAAGTCTTCTAATCCCTCATCATCCCTTTAAAACCCATTCATAAAACTGGATTTTAAAGGAACCTCGTCACACACCCCTTCCCACCTATAAAAAAGTAGATAATAAGCACTCCTAATGAGAAATCAATATTACAATATTCTAACCGGATGAAGAACAAAAACATCTGGTAGCTCCTCCCTTCCTGTAAGAGCCCCTCCTGCAAAGGTCTATGGGCTCAAAAAAGAAACGTAAACCTGAACAAGAAGAAAAACCAGCCAACCCCTTGTAAAGAATTATCCTGAAGCAAACCCATTGCATAAACTTAGGCAGAACCAGGAGCAGTTTCTGGCTTCTCAGTCTCCATGGGCTCTGCATTTGGTGTCTCGTTGCTGTCATCAGCACCACCATCCGCATTAGCATCTCCACCTGGAGAAGGAGCCTCACCACCTTGAGCCTGCTGAGGTTGTGGCTCAGGAGTAGCTGGCTTTGGAGGGGCTGGTTTGGGTTTCGTCATTATTGGTCTACATAGCCTGTTATGCACCAATGCATTGTTAATTAGGCACAAAGAAACAAAAGTATAGCACATCACATGCTTCATACGTAACTCTATGTATATCAGCTACAAGCCTAAACCAGAAATGTATTTCCAAGTACGCTAAATTGATAAAACAAAATCATTTTAAATTTCCCAAAAAAGTACTAATAACTCCTCCATACTGTAAATTGTAATGCACAATTGCAACCACGCACAATTGCAACCACCCAAAGCTAACTGAGCACTAGTATGGTGAAATCTTGGACAGTGAGATAAATAATAAACTCCTCTAAAAGAAAGAAAGAAAAACAAAAATAACATGAAGCAATGAAGCATTACCTGTCAAGCTCCTCAGTTTTCTTCAACACATCCGCTGACCTCAGAGCAGGAGTTGCATATTTAGGAAGTGCATCCTGTTGCTGCTGCTTCTCTCTGAGCCATGCTTCTGCTTCCACACAGGCATTTAGGACCTAAAATCATTCCAAAAGGTCAAAGAAACCGATTAAGTGGCTGAGGTAACATATGCGAGTCACAGTAGCAAAAGAAGTCCACGTATACTACCTTCTGTTTATCCACAAGATCAATGTGTTCAAATTTGGAATCATTTGACACTGCAGCATCTCTATAGCTATTGATACAGTAGGTTAGCTGCTGGATAACATTTCCCCGCTCCATGTGATCCTTGTAACGTTCTTCAATCGGATCACCTTGCTGCAGTTTATAAACAATAATGTCAGCAAAAATTTATATACAAAAGGGAAAGACAATATTAGGAACTGCAATCACATAAATCTTGCCTTTTTTAGCTCCTCAAGCTTAGCAACATAGACACTCTTAATTTCATCTTCACCATCCTCATACAACCAGTCTTCAACCTCTTGAAGTCTAGCAATAAACTCATCTTTCTCGGAAGGAGTGACAAACTCCTGGTATTTGTCATTAAGCTGGATACAATAAAAGAAAATGAAAGTTTAGGCACGACATTATATTTTGGCATAAACGACGATCCACTAAGTTACAGTGCGCCAAATACCTTGTTTCTCATGTCGTAGACATAGGCCTCAACAGCATTTTTCCGATCCTTTGTTTCCTCCATCACACGATCTTGCAAAGCTAATTCAAACTCCTTTTCAACTGCCTTTTGCAAATCAACTTGTGACAAACCACCATGAACTAGCTCAGTGACTGGGACATTTGTTTTCTTAATCTTCTTCTTAGCTTCAGCCTGTAAGAAAGACAGCAAAACATAAGAGCCACTAAAAACACAACTTCCAA